TATATAATTTAAAATTCCTTTTTAGTCATTTTTTGGGGATTTTGTCATGTTTGTTTGTTTGTTTTTAATTAATTGTATTTATTTTTTATATATGCTTTTTTTATATATTACTTTTTAGATTTTATACTTTAGTTTTATTTTTCCAATTAGTTATTGTTAGTTCTTCAAAGCAACATTTCTAACATTTCTGTTTGATATTTTATTTTAGTTAACAAAAATATTATGATAGTTTGTCAACAGTATAAATATTATTTATTTTGCAGTATAAAGTAAAGAAATAACAGAAGATTAGATAATTAAATTAATTAGATCAATTTAAATTAAATTAATGAATAAGTTCAACAGGCTTCTGATTAAATTATGTATATCAGGCAATATGCATCTGAGCATAAATAAATGCATACAGTATGCATCTGATTAATGTGTATTGAATGAATGAATGAATGAATAATTACTAGGTAACGATAATAACTCTGGATCATTCAGAACCTTGAAACACTCAGCATTAAACTTTGGCACATAATTTGTCTCTGAATGATAAAATAGGGTGAAAAAAATCCCAAAGGATGGACTTGAGCCGTATCTAAAGACCAGAACAACATGTGATGGCCTCTTTTCTGCAGTTTCAGCCTGCGGCGTTGGATCTGAAGCCTTTCTTTGACTGCGTTGTGTTGTCTTCTCTCTCTGCAGGTGGTTCGAGCCGTTTGTTATCCAGTGGTTGGATGAAAATGAAGACGTAGCGATGGATTTCCTCAACGGAGCTCTGGAGAGAGATAAAAAAGATGGGGTGAGTTTTTCGCATTGTTACTTTGCTTCAGTAGAACTTTGCATTTGTAAATTGGCAAACAGTCTAACGCCGCAGTTACCATCTAAACATCACATTAACACTAAATGCTGCATTTCTCTTCTACCTTCATGATGCTTTTATGAAGAGCTCCTGCGAAGTTCCTACTTATGAGTTTTAAAATTGTAATTATGACGGTCAGGATGAAATGAATGCATTGGATGAGTTTATTTCCCAGCAAAGACAGGACACAGTTTAGTGCCCCAACAAAATGAAGTGCAAAGGATTCACTTCGGATGTACGATAAATGCTTTATTTCTGTATTAATCCTTCTCATTCTGCACTTATAATAATGGGAAATGTCACCTGTCTCCTCATTAACCAACAATTAGCACAGGTTTTGTGTTTCTTTTTGGAACTGATTGATCGTAGGCCTCATTGATCTGAGCGTATGCACCGCTTTTTAACTAGACATGCGGATACAAACAAACGCTGCTTTTGTAACATTAGAAATCTCTTTACTGTTTCACTTTTTCACTTTTGATCAATGTACTGCCTTGCTGAATTGAAAGTATTAAATTAAATGGTAACACTTTACAATAAGGTTCAATTAGTTAATGTTAGTTAATCCATTAACTAACATTGAGCAATACATTTGTTACAGTATTTATTAATCTTTGTTAATTTATTCATCTTTGTTAATAAAAATACAGTTGTTCATTGTTGGTCCATGTCAGCTCAGGCACATTAAATAATATGAACAAAACAACTTTTGATGTTAATAATGCATTAGTAAATGTTGAAATTAACATTTACAAAAATTAATAAATGCTTTAGAGGTATTTTTCATTGTTAACATTATGTAGTTAGCTTATGTTAACAAATAGAACCTTACTGTAAAGTGTTACCAATTAAATTAAATTAAAGTAGTTTTTGATTAAATTATTATTAATAATAATAATAAATAAATAGTAGTAATAATAATAATAAATTAATAACATTTTAAAAATCTTACTGGCCCCAATGTTTTGAACGATAGATGAAAAAGAGCATCAAAAAATGTCATAAAAAGTCAGTTGTTTTGGTGAATTAAAAATGACAGTATTTTCAATTTTTGGTGACATATTCTCTCAACAATAGAAAAAATGAAGCCATTCTGGGGTCTTTAAATCGCTATTGAAGAACCATGATGTGTTTGAGTGAAACTTGCCAAAATTGCCAAAAAATCAGTCAGAAAAAGAAATACAAAACCTGTTAATTGAAAGAAATATCCTGAGCTGAATACAGGATTTGATGATAATACAGCATAATAAGAGATTTGCAAGCCATTTTAAAAAGGCTGAGCATATAAGCATTTGAACAGGTTTATAACCATTTCAGTTTCAATAAGCTCTCTCTTTAGATACAAGGAGGAATATTAGATATATTTTTTTCTTTAATGACTTTTGCACTGTGAATTTATAGATAAGTGCATGTGCAATGTGTTTTCCTCACAGCATCGACACAATAAATGAAATTAGACATGTGGATAAACTGTTAAATTGAAGGCATTAGGCTGACGAGTGTTCGTGAAATAACCGAACAAACACTTTTGATTGGACTGATGTGAATATGAGGTGCTGTTACTGTACAGCAGCACAAAAACACACCGCTCAATGTTCCCCTCGCTGACGAAAACAAATCACAGGCGAGATTGGTTTCATTTGCTAATTGCATTCACCTGAAAACCACAAATCTTTTAGTGCTCTTAATATCGGCCAATGCCGTGACGAACGGCCGCGTTATTATATGTGATATGTGACACTGACAAATATAATTGCACATGAGCATTTCAGACGCAGACGCAGACACAGTATGTTTTTCCCCCTACTGTTTATAGTTTTTTGCAGGCAGTGCTGGTGCTGAGATGACATGAGCGGAGCGGGTTGCTAACTGTGTTTAGATGTTTAGCTGCACTCGGGTTCAAGTCTTGTGAGATTCAACTCTACATTAAGATGCTAATGGAGCAGCACCTCAGTTAATTGTCTGATGATTATTAGGCTTGTGTTTGCTGGCAGAAGCGCCTGGAGAATAAGGGCAGAAGCGTAGGTTAATTGTGTCATAGGTTATGTTGGCAGGCAGTCCCAACGGCTGTGAATCAGACCAGCGCTGGCTGCTGAAAAACATCTTCAGTGCTTCCTGGCAGCATCTGAGCTTCAGGTCTTCTTATTAAGAACCAGTATCATACGAAATATTATTATGGTTTAAAATAACTGCTTTAAAATTTCATTTATTTCTGTGATCAAAGCTGAATTTTCAGCATCATTTGACCCCAATCTTTTGAACAGTTGTGCCGATATTATACTGTATATATATATATATATATATATATATATATATAATTTTTTGGCAAGTGTGATAATAATGTACAGTCAGCCACTGATTATAAAATAATAGCTAAATAAATTCTGGTTTGAAGATTTTTAAAATGTTATTTTTTCCCGTGTTGGCAAAGCTGAATTTTCAGCAGTCTTCAGTCTCACATGATCCTGCACAAATCATTCTAATGTGCTTAAGAAACATTTCTTATTATTATCAATGTTGAAAACAGTTGTGCTGATTCATATTTTTGTAGAAACCGTGATTTTTCTGGATCCTTTGTTGAATAAAAAGTTTAAAAGAACAGTATTTAGGTTTTATATCTATATCTATTTTCTTTCATACTGTCTGTACTCTGTACCCATTCTGAATAAAAGTATTAATTTCTCTCTTTCAGAAAAATAAATAAAATAAAATCCAACAAAAAAAAAAATTATAATAAAATAAAATTACTGACCCCAATCTTTTGAACAGTTGTGCCGATATTATACTGTATATATATATATATATATATATATATATATATATATATAATTTTTTGGCAAGTGTGATAATAATGTACAGTCAGCCACTGATTATAAAATAATAGCTAAATAAATTCTGGTTTGAAGATTTTTTTATTAGAAATAAAAATATTTTGTAACATTATAAATGTCTTTACTGTCACTTTTGATCAATTTAATGGCTTATTGAATTGAAAGTATTAAAACCATAAATTAAATAAAAAAATACAATCTTACTGACCTCAAATTTTTGAGCATAGTGTATAGTGCATGGAAAAGAGCATCAAAAAAGCCATAAAAAGTCTATTGTTTTGGAGTGACTCTAATTTACTAACATTAAAGTGAATTAAAGTTCATTACATTTCATTTTTGGGTGGCATATTCTATAAACAAAGGAAAAAATAAAGCCATTCTGGGATCCTTGAAACACTACTAGCACATTAAAGCACCATGCTAGAATTTAATGGAAACCTGGAATCAGGCTGCAAAACTTTTCTTGATCCTTTTTTTCCAGTATGTAGCAAATGCTGAAATTATGGGAAACACAATGATCAAATTGTTGTGATATGTTCATTAATGCTTTGATTGTGGTGTTTTGATTGCAGTTCCAGCAGACATCAGAACATGCTCTCTTCTCCTGCTCGGTGGTGGATGTGTTCACACAGCTCAATCAAAGCTTTGAGATCATCAAGAAGCTGGAGTGTCCGAACCCTCAAGCTCTCGCTCACTTCATGCGCAGGTTTGCAAAGGTAAGACAGAATCAGAATAGAAAGGATGAGGCTGTGCAAAGAAGAGTGAAACCCCCTTAGATGTGTAAAATCTATGCAACTCACAGTCAATATTTATGATGAAAGAAGAGACCAAAGAATTGCATGTATTAACAGTAATAATAATCACAATAAACGGTTCTTCCGCCAAGCATTATTACTTTAACTGTAGGGTGTCGTACGGTTGCCAGGCAGCCGAGAGCATAAAATGATGAACAAATGATGGAGAAGAGCTTTGAAACAGAAAAATGCAAACCTGCATCAGTTGAAAGATAGGGCACATTTTTACGGTGTTTTTGCACCATTACTTGATTTTATTTAAATGTCAAGTATGACTGGTATCGCCAAAAAAAGGAACTGGAAATATTATTTGATCCAAGGTTGTCATGTCCGGCAGATCAGGATTATCAAACGAATAGAGCAATGTTTTAAATATGTTCACAAAAGCTGCATTTATTTGATAAAAAATGCGTTAAAAACAGTGAAATATTATTGCAATTTAAAATAATAGTTTTCTATTGTAATATATGTTAAAATGTCATTTATTCCTGTGATATAAATCTGAATTTTCAGCATCATTACTCCAGTCTTCAGTGTCACATGATCTTCAGAAATCATTTTAATATGTTGATTTGCTGCTCAAGACACATGTCTGATTATTATCAATGTTGGAAACAGTTGTGCTGCCCAATATTTTTGTGGAACCTGTGATACTTTTTTCTCCGATTCCTAGAAAGTTCAAAAGAACAACAATTATTTGAAATAGAAATCTTTTGTAAGATTATAAATGATTTTACTGTTACTTTTGAGCAATTTAATGCATCCTTGCTTAATGAAAGTATTAATTTCTTGAAAATATTTTACTGACTTCAACCATGGCTTATAGGTGTCTCTGAATATTAGTAGTATTTTAACATCAACTTTAAGGAGTTAATTTAAATCATCAGGTGCAAGTGTTTACTTACTATTTACAGTGTTTTACGCGCCTTGTGAGCAGTGAAAAGCTCATCACCTCTAGCAGGAAGTGACAGGGTTCGGATAAAGGGCTGAAGATGGATTTACTGAAGGTTTAGAGCAGGTTTGCACTGAGTGGATTAACCTTCATGACTTACTAAACATCACACTGTGTGTATGTGAGCGTTTTGTTTGAGGGGTTGCATGTAGAAGGTGAACAGGAACATCTGAGATTGATAGTAAATCATTGTTTGATCAAATATTCAGACATCCTCAGTTCAGCTTAGACACAATTCAGTCCAGAGTGATTTATTGGTTCCTCACAATACAGCCGACATATTCGATCAATACCCAAACTGAACTGGGAGGATCAGTAATAAACCGCTGAATGTAATAATGAGCAATAGACAAGATTAATTATGTTTGAGCACATAACTAAACATATAAGCAATAGTAATAGTGATGCTTAATTTAGAAAACACCACAAATGAACACATCTACTTATAAATATGGTGATCATAACTCTAAAACACATAGCAGATTTTAAAAGAGATGTCCAAGATGTCCAGCTAATGTATTTTTTCTATTGTAAATGTCTTTGTTGAATGCAAATGAACTGCGAAGGGCAGAGAGAGAGGCGTTAAGAGCAGCACTCCTCCCACAGGATTATGGGTAAAGGGTCTTGTAGCAGGCATTGATTACTTCATGCAAACTTGACACGAGAAATCTATTACAGCGGCCTTACAAGACACATATTATTACAGCCCTCATTAACTTATTTGCATATTTATGAATATGTTAATAGTTGAATGCCATTCCCTTGGCTTCAGGTTACTTAACTCAAAGTGCCCATACTTTTTTGACGCACACATGTTGGCACATAGGCTACAACCAGTGTTGGGGGTAACGCATTACAAGTAACGCAAGTTACGTAATCAGATTACTTTTTTTCAAGTAACTAGTAAAGTAACGCATTACTTTTTAATTTACAAGAAAATATCTGAGTTACTTTTTCAAATAAGTAACGCCAGTTACTTTTTTTCCCCATTTATTGATTGAAAGCTCTCCTGTCCCCATGTTGAGAGAAATCGGGAGTAAGATGTTACTTTAGTTCTAGAATAAATGTGAACATGCATTAATTCATCTCACTCACTCAAAAAAAAAAAAAAATCAGATTTAGTTTATTAATAAAAACAGTTAAAAGCAACTCAGAATATGACTCAAAGCTGCAATAATGACCTTCGGTGATCCAATTCAACCATACTAATAAGCAAAAATTACATAAGATAAACTAACATTTCTTCTTCTTTTTTTATTGCTGAAGAGTGTTGAACTTTCTTCTTCTGTGTATACTGTACAGACGTGAATTTACATTTCCTTCAGCCTGAGGCTTTTGGTGTGAAAGGGCTTTTATATTTGCCAAAAATAGAACTTTTTATATTAAAAGCAAACAATCAAGCCCAGCTCAGATTTTCAAAAGTAACGTAATGCATTACTTTCAATAAAAAGTAATTAAGTAACATAATTAGTTACTTTTTTAGGAAGTAACGCAATATTGTAATGCATTACTTTTAAAAGTAACTTTCCCCAACACTGGCTACAACGGTGTATAATTTCCTTTGAAATGTTTGTAGTCATTAAGATTTATTTTATTGTTTTATTTTATTTGCTTTTTTTGAAAGAAATTAATACTTTTATTCAGCAAGGCTGCGTTAAATTGATCTAAAGTGACTAATACCATTAATAATGTTTAAAAATATATATATTTCAAATAAATGCCATTCTTTTGAAATTTCTACTTATCAAAGAATACTTTAAAAAAGTATCACTTTTTACACAAAAATATTAAGCATTAAAATATTAAAATGCTAAAATGAATAACGTTTAAAAAATATTTTCAATATTGATAATAATCAGAAATGTTTCTTGAGCAGCAAATCAGCATATTAGAATGATTTCTGAAGATCATGTGACACTGAAGACTGCAGTAATGATGCTGAAAATTCAGCTTTGATCACCGGAATAAATTACATTTTACAATATATTCACACAGAAAACATGTATTTTAAATTGTAATAATATTTCACATTTTCAATGTATTTTTAATCAAATAAATGCTTAGTGACCCCAAACTTTTGACTGGTAGTGAATGCACATGTGTTTTAGGTCTGTAAATAATAACAGTAACACATATCCGACTTATTGCTTTCATGAAGTTAAACTACTGTTATTTAAAAATAATATATAATAATCTACATTTTATTCTCTTTCCAGACCATAAATAAAGTTCTTCTCCAGTATGCTGTGATCATCTCTAAAGACTTCAGCAACCATCTGAACAAGGAGAAAGTGGTGAGTCTATAAGCGGCAGGTTTACACACACACACACACATACGCTTTCAAAACCGCTTCATCATAAAATGTCAGCGTGTTTTAAAGTCATGACCCTGCGAGTGTCCGAACATGGCTTGATCAGATTATACCGGGGACGTTGCTATGGAGACCGTAGTAAGACATTAAAGTCGACTTTGATTGGACGGCTGGCAGACGCTTCCGTGCGAGACCTTCTCGCGTCCTCTTCTCCTTCCTCTGTGCTTTCAACTTTCTGTTCTTTGTGTAAAATGACAGCGTTCGTGGTGCTAACTCAGAGCTGCTTTTGTTCTACCTCGAATTTTTACAGTGTCTTCCTGTAATGATTATAAAAGCTTGGCACGCAGGATGTCTGTGCTGGGAAGAAAGACAGATGTATCTTTTAAGTGCCGTGACAGGACCACAGAGAGACAATCACGCGGCCTGTAATTAAAGACATATCTCTGTTCGGTCTTGGAGGATGGAGCTGCTCCTCAGGGCTCATCCAGCGCTTAATTGACAGCTCGGTTCATCCTAAGAATATCCAGATCTTTAAACGCACCCATGCCCATAAATCAGCTCTCCAGAGTTGATATACATTGTCTTGAATTAAATTTGCGAGTGTGTGAAATCACCAGCTCTTGTCAGAGAGACGATGTTCCCTCATTTCAATTAGCGCAACGGCTTCGTATTTTCGTTTCAGAGTTTCACACCGATTTGTCACACGGCTGACATGTGACCTTTAGGAAGTGTGCCGGTGCAGACAGTAAGAGCCCGTTTTAATTAGCTTATGGACTCCTGCGCTAATTACGCACTCCTGCCCATCCAATTATCTCCTGGGATGCTTATACGAGAGCGTATGGACCTCCGGATCATCTGTGTGTCAACACAAATCTGCTTATTTGACATTTACTGTAACAGACACCTTTTACCCAAAGTGCATTGCGTCTCACCTGGAGGTCAGTCGCTTTGCTCATTTAACGCTAGTCACACTGAGCCTGAAGGTCATCTTAAACATTAGTTTACCATCAACCCGGTTATTGAGTTTGATGTTTTTAAACATTTTTGATTACAGATGTAATTTTGTACATATAAAATGTGCTTTTAATATATTTGGTTGGTGGTCTTAACATTTTGTTATATATTGATAATTTATTAATATTACAAGATTTATAATTAAAACATGCAATGCATTAGAATTCTAATGTATTAAATTGTGCATTAGGGCAACCTGCTGAATACATTATTATCTATTATGACTACGACTATTAACTATGAATTACTATTACAGTATAACAAAACACAACTGAGTTTAAATATTATTGGATATAAGGAAACATTATGCTTTAAGGATACTGTGACTGTGCATTAATTTCATGTATTTTCAAAAATAAATGAGTGTTTAAATACAACTCAAATATGTTCAGTTGTGTAATTCTGTCATTTTTCTGGAGAGGCAGAGGCATAGATTTTTACGTAATGAAATTCAGATTTACTGCCACTGATGAAAGTAAGATGTGCAAAATCAGTGATCAGCATCCAGACGAATCGATGCCCGTGTGTATATATTCACAGAAGTCTTCTAGTACAAACATCTCCTTGCATTACCCAGGCGTAGGGTTTTGAAGACTGAATGTATCTGGAAAGAAGTACATGAAATATCTTGTCTATCTTTCTTCTCCTGACAGCCCTGTATCCTCTTGAACAACATCCAGCAGCTCCGAGTTCAGCTGGAGAAGATGTTCGAGTCCATGGGAGGAAAGCAGGTCAGTAAACTAATCAATGATACTGCAAGACTCCACAGTAATGTTTCCCACTAACTGTCTGTGTGAGTGAAGCTCTTGAACATCCCTTGCTGAAAAGCTGCGTTCATTAATGTCTGAATTACAGTAATTATGAGTCTGATTACTTGCAACTAGAAGGTCCAACAAGTTCCAGCTTCTTGCACTTGGCATCAGACTTCAGCAGTTACAGCTGGTTAGTTTCCTTCATCAGCACATACTGATGTTTTATATGTCATTGAATAGTCAGTGTTCCCCGAAGCACTTTGTTCTTGTGTTTCTTCAATGATTCTGGTTCCAATTCCTTTATGATTCCATTGATGACTCTTTCAGTTCTTGAAGAATAATTAGGCTTAATTATATACTTAACAAATACTCTAAAATAAAAACAATGCTGTTTTTAACTAACAACTTGTGTTTTTATTAGTATTTAATTATTTTATTTTATTTCATTTCAATAATTTTTTGTTATATTTTATTTGAGTTTGCCAAAAGAAATGAATCAGTAAATCATTAAATTGATTCATTCCGATATGAATTGAGACACATTTTTGAATCTTTTCAAAGTTTGTTTCTTCATCAGATTTGGAGAAATGTAGCATTGCATCAGTGTCTCAGCAATGGATCCTCTGCAGTGAATGGGTGCCGTCAGAATGAGAGTCCAAACAGCTGATAAAAACATCACAATAATCCACAAGTAATCCACACCACTCCAGTCCAGCAGTTCACATCTGGAGAAGACAAAAGCTGCGTGTTTGTAAGAAACAAATCCATCATTAATACGTTTTTAACTTCAAACCATTGCTTCTGGCTAACATATGAGTCCATAATCCATAATAACACTTCCTCCAGTGAAAAAGTCCATCTGCTGTTGTTCTCTCAAAATCCAGCCACATATTTGTTTAAAATTGTTTTGGCTTGTAAACGGTGCTTGATCTGTGCAGATTTCTCTCCTGATTCAGACGAGTTGACTTTTCACTTGAGGAAGCATTATTATGGACAGAGGATGTTTAAAGTTAAAAACATCTTAATGATGGGTTTGTTTCAGCTTTTGTCTTCTCCAGATGTTAACTGATGGACTGGAGTGGTGTGGATTACTTGTGGATTATTGTGATGTTTTTATCAGCTGTTTGGACTCTCATTCTGACGGCACCCATTCACTGCAGAGCATCCATTGCTGAGCAAGTGATGCAATGCTACATTTCTCCAAATCTGATGAAGAAACAAACTCATCTATTCAAGTTTATTTCTATTATCTACAGCTTGGATGGCTTGGGGGTGAGTAAAATTTTAGCAAATTTTCATTTTTGGGTGAGCTATTCCGTTAAGAGAACCATAAAAATCATTTCATTAAAAGAAGAAAATGATTCACCGCTCCCCAAACCTATTCAAGATGGGCCGCACATGTATGAATCCATTTGACATCCAGTGTTGCCATAGAAACAAAAGATTCCAAATGATTCCACGAGTTCAAAGTAGATTCTCAGAGTCGCCTCATAAATACGGTAATTCTGCATGATGTGAACGCAACTTAACATCCCTTGTGAATTGTGCATGCGTGTTGTGACTCTTCTCTCTGTTCTCTCCAACTATGACAATGTCCTTGTTTCTTGTCGTCCCCGTCTCCTCTGGGCTCTTGCACCAGGAGGAAGGGACTGTGGTCTTCTGCAAGGTGTGTGAACAGGTTTCCTCTAACATCTCTATACACCGCTGCTCTACAGCCAGAATTCTGTCATCATTTACTCATCTTCATGTCGTTCTAAACTTAAGATTTTCTGTCTTTTTGTTTGGAGCAACATTAAATGATAGCAAATGATGACACTGCTCTATGGTTGTGAATTCTGGCTGTAGTGCATGGTCCTGATTCATCCCGGTTTAACTGGACACGTTTGAGCAGCATGAGCACTCTCACACCCATTGAAACACCTCACTTCCTGTCTCTCGTACTTCCTGTCCCGCCCCCTCAAGAGCATGCTGCACCTGACATGAGACCTCACAAGAACGATTATCTTCAATAACTGAGGATGCTAATACTCAATTTTAAAGGGATCGTTCATCCAAAAATCTGTATTGGTCATTATTTATTCACCCTAATGCACTGAAAAAGAATATTTAGCCCTAAATATAAGATTTATGCATTTGAATTGCGTATAAAATGTGTGTGTATATATGTGTATAAATGTGTGTGTGTGTGTGCGTGTGTGTGTATATATATCAAAATATCAAAATATACTAAATATGTTTTGTAAATATATTTTTGCTAATACAGTTTTGCTGTTTTTTTTTTAAATAAACTTAAAAAATATAAATATATTTTTTTCCAAAATATGTAAAAGTATATTTTGCCCTATTTCAGTCCAATGAAAATACATTCACATGTCACATTTGAAGAAAAACTTTATTTGTTGTCTATAATATGTAAATGTAACACGTTTGAATAAAAATCAGCAAAGAACATACTTTACAGTGTTCCAAAAAATTACAATATATAACAAATGAAATATTATTAAATCGTTAAATGGTTAGTATTATTAAATATTAAATCTAGTTTTGATGTCTAGTAAGCTATTCCATCTATATTGTAAGATTGTAAAAGTATTTTCTTGCCCTTGAAATGCATTTTGAAATATATATTGGTATATAATAATGATTGAATCTAAATATATTTTCAATTTCAAAAATATGTTTTATTGAGCTTCACTTTTTACTATATATATTTCACATATATTTAAAATATTTTGGCCAACTTTTTTTTTAACTTAATGTGATACATATTTGTCAGTTAAAAATTATGAACATGATTCAAAAATGGCTAGTAATGGAACGAGCAATATTCAGTTTGCAATATTCAGAAAAAAAAAGAATTTATTGATGATAAATATATAAAGCTGATTATTGTTTACTAAACAGATTCAGTTTATTAGTACTGTCAGAAATCTGACCCGTTTCATTGATGTATGAATGATAAATATGCATCACGTTACATTTATTAGTTTATGTTAAAACGGTGTAATCCAAATGGATTTTTATATGCAATTCAATTACGTAAATCTTAAATTTAGCCCTAAATAATTATTTGAGTGTGTTTCAAACCTGTATATTATTTTTTTATGTGGAACACAAAAAGAAAACAAGAATGATTATTCTTTCAATGCAAAGTATGAATAATATGCTCCAAAAATGACGAAACAGCATCATAGTGCATATGACTCATGCACATGTATATATTATATGTGAACACTGTAAAATTAGGTCAAAAATGCCACATATGATGCTTTTTTGGAGCATAAAAACGTTTTTAATTCACTTTTTGCATTGCATTGCATCACTTTCCTTTGGAAACGAGCAGCATGAACATATTTTGAACTTCTTTTGTGTTTCATGGGGCAAAAAAAAAAAAGAAAGTGACAGGTTTAGAATGACACGAAGGTGATTTTCATTTTTGCTGAACTAGCGCTTTACCGACGGCCAGCAGAGCTGTGTTTGCCTGAACTTGATTTTTAATCATGTACAGTGTTTGTGGTTATTTAGGATTCCAGAGTTTGGAAAGTTTGCGTTTGGTCCTGATGTTTAGCTTGCACTGTTCTCAGACTCTCCGAGTTGTTGTTTTTTTATTATTTTATTTTACTTTGCTTTAATCAAAATCCTCCCTGCTGGCAGAAAACCATAATGTACTGAAATCACTGGGTAGGTTTTGTCCAGCTATAACATACTTCAAATGAAAGATGAATAAAGGCAGATCATTTGCACGCATGCCAGAGGTCTGTCAGATCAAGGTTAGATGTCTTACCTCTGTTGAAATGAAGGCTACAGTGCTTTAAAAAGAGTCCAGCTGTTTGAAAGTGTGACTAATTTATGAATTCTGCTTCCTTCATGAAACTCAATTCGTTCAGAGGAAGTAAAAGCCAAACGCTCCAAATATAACCCTGCTCTGGCAGCGCCACCGTTCCCAAAGCAATTAGCCAACTGAAAGAAAAATGTAATTACAGTGGCTCGTTATCATGGATTTATAAATAAAAGATCCAGCACTGTCCAAGAAAAATTAATTGGGGGAGTCAAAGTTAGCTGCGATGACGCGGGCCGCGGGGAATAACCGCCGCGAACACACGGATCACCCGTTATCTGCTAATTAACAATGTGAGGTAGACCACAGGTACAATTTCACATCATGATTCCCTAATTGAGAGTCTAATTAGAATATAATGAATTTAGTTATAACTTACCAATAGGGCTGTGCAATTAATCGAAAAACAGTTTCGATTTCGATTTTGGCCTCCAACGATTATGAAAATACAGTAATCGAGATAAAACGATTATTGCGCCCCATTCCGGCCCCTTTTCCAGCGCTGTGCCTTCGTTCCTCCATAATTTCACGTGCAAATCAGTAAAAATCATGTAACGTGACTTTTGCAAAATGGGACGTGCTTGATTTATAGAAGTATATTTATTCATGTTTTTAAAAGCGCTAAAGAGAACTTGCGGTGCACCTCAGGAAGATATATGCGCTCAGAGACGGAGCAGAACACGGACATGTAAAGTGATCTTTTAGCTCAAGGTGTGCGCCTAAATGGTCAAATACACGCAAAAATGTGTCAAAATGCGCTTAGTGATTATTCATGTATACCTTCGTCAGTCATGTAATAAATTAACCGAAAAAAGTTGAGAATGAAAATACGTGTGTAACGGTAAATTGGATCCATGCGGCTCTTAAAGTGACAGCGGGCTATTTTCCTTCTGCGACTGTGTGCTTAATATTAATCAAACAACAAAAGACAAATTCAAAATCACACACTGCTTTTGAGTGAAGGACTTTTTTAGCTTTAATAAGAAACAAAAATGTAATTCTTACAGTGAAGACTATGCTGTTTTATTTTACATTTGATTATTCATTTCTGTAGTAGGCTGTAAACTGCTTGAGACTTGCATAAAAAACATTAACGCACAGTTTGTTTCATTTGTATGTTTTTATTCTGTTGTATTTGTCTTTTGCTTTTTTATTACTGACAGTTGAATTCGGTTATGAAAATACAATAATCAAGATGAAACGATTATTGACCCCCATTCCTCCCCCTCTCCAGCGCTGCGCTTTCGCTCCTCCATAAAAGCCCAATTTCACGTGCAAATCAGTAAAATCAAGTAACGTGACTTTTGCAAAATGTGATGTGCTTGATTTATATAAGTAAATTACACTTTTTCATGTTTTCAAAAGCGTGAAAGAAAACGTGCGCTGCTCCTCAGGAAGATAACGTTATATGCACTCAGAGACAGAGCAGAACACGGACATGTAAAGTGATCTTTTAGCTCAAGGTGTGCGCCTAAATGGTCAAATACACGCAAAAATGTGTCAAAATGCGCTTAGTGATTATTCATGTATACCTTCGTCAGTCATGTAATAAATTAACCGAAAAAAGTTGAGAATGAAAATACGTGTGTAACGGTAAATTGGATCCATGCGGCTCTTAAAGTGACAGCGGGCTATTTTCCTTCTGCGACTGTGTGCTTAATATTAATCAAACAACAAAAGATATATATTATATAAATTATTAATATATAATATACATATATTATTTAAATATATTTTACACTTTAATAAAAAATAATTTACAATTTAAATGAGTATTCAAGTATAAAGTGAATTTAAATCATTGATAAATATATAATACAGTATATGTCTTGTCATATTCATTACTGTATTGAGAATAAAATTTATAAAATAAAGTTTTATATTATATTTAGATTTGTAAATGTAAGCTTACTTCATACTTGAATAAAAATACTTATTTAAATTGAAATAAAATAATAAATAATTTATGATTTAAATGAGTAAAGTTGTATTAATGTATAAAATAAATGTAAATAATTTATAATTATTTATATAATAAATAACCAAAATATATTTAAATGTAAACATATAACTTTAATTACAGTAATTGTGGTCATGAGAATTGAGGTGGAGATGCTGTCACAAAAATAGACTTTTCTTGAAGGACAATATAATTTCTTATTTCTTAATTTTTCAGATTAAATCATAATTTCCACACGTGTAAAGCATTAGTTGTGTTTGTGTTATCAGTCATGGCACTGCTGGCTGTCTCTGATCTCCATTAACCTGAAGAGCTCTCATCACTGATTAATCTGGCCGTAAACCATAAACGCTGTTACAATTCACAAGTCAGCCATTCATCCTGAGTACATGGACGTCCTGCCTCACCCGAACACAAATACTAACAAACGTGCTAAATACAATGACTAAACACGCTAGGAATCATGGGTGAAAGCAACATGTTTTGCCTCATCTTAAGGTGATGTTAGATCTGATAGACAGCCATAGATTATGATACATAAGCATAATCAATAATGTGCCTCATGGCTTTAATTTATAGATAATAAAAAATCCCTTAGCTGTTTTTCAATTTGTCATTTTCCATTTAGAGGATTTTAAAATGGTCCATCTTGTCAGTAATTATGAATAGTGATTATTTTCAGTTGTTCCAGCCCTTAGGGAATTTTGAACGTGTAATTGACAAATTTTGGATCAAGTTATTTATCTTATATTTTATTTATAATTTTGTATTTTATATTATATATTTTATATAATATTTTTATATATCTCATATAAAATGGTATATATTTTATATTATATATTACATTGAAAGTCTATAAACATATATTTTCTCTTACTTTTTGTTACAAAAAAATCTAAAAAATATACACAAAATTACATATTATTTGCAAATATTCTATATTATACTACATTTTATACAAAATACATTTTTATAATGTATAATAGTGTGTGTGGATATGATTTATGTAATCTAATTTTATTAATTTATTTATCGATTGTTTGTAGTAATTCGGCCCTTAGAGCATTTTAGAAGTGTAAATGACAAATTTTGGATAAGTCATTTATCTCATATTTATAATTTTGTAAAGTCATTTATCTTATATTGTATTTTATATTGCATTTTTTATATCTTATAAAATATATTTATATTTTGATATATTTATATCTGATAAAAACGATATGCAGTATATATATATATATCTTGTATATTACATTTACAGTCTATAAACATGTATTTATTAAACTTAAAAATTAAAAATACATGTATGTATTTTTATTACAAAAAAATTAAATATATACAAAAATATGTATTTTTGCAAATATTCTTTATTTTAATACATTTTTAAATGATAATTTTATATAATATAATATGTATGTTTTTATATTTTTTCATTATTAATTTATTATTTATTTAATTTGTTTGTTTATTGTAGTTATTCGGATTGTGTATCTGTTTACTATGTATCACTTGAAGAAGAATCTGCAAATATTGAGCATTGTTTTTCACTAGACTTTGATAAAAACAGTCAAACCAAAGGTAGAGCGGAGCTTCACGGATAGAAACCCAGCGTGCATTATGGGTAAAAGCCATGATTATGATGCAGACACGTGCCTCTGATGTGACGAGAGGCTTGTATTGAGTTTGCAGTCGTCATTAGTCGAGCGATTCCTCAGTCCAGACCTTTTCAGCGGCTCGGCACGCTTGACTGAAAGCTCACTGTTCAACGGCAGAGAAAATCAGCAAACCATGGCACGGAAACAAAGCTGTCAGACGGTTCCTCTGTGTCAAAAACACAAATCATACAAGCAGGGGTCAAAATCTACTTTATTATATGTACAGGCCATAAAAATTTATTTTGCATTATGTTTTATTACAAAAAAAAAAATAGATGTATACATATTTTTACAGATTTACAAAATATATTTTTATGGCATGTATATAATAAAGATTGATTGATTGATTATTAGGGATTATGTATCTGTTTTATTTAACTTACACCATTTAATGCTTTTTAATAGCGACTAAATGGCCAATAACTGCTTTATTTACTCAAAGTGAAGTTTTATTCACATTATAAAACGGAGAGTTCCGGTGCTTGATTCTGATTGGCTGAGCCACGTTCGAAGCTGTTGTAAATTACTCTACAAACATACACCGTTGTTTACGTCTGTGTGTTGCTCGCCAACCACTTTGTTACAACCACAACTAATTCTGAGGAACTACATTGTTTGGTGTAAGAATACTGTTTTATTAATATCGTTACATTTTATTTGCTCTGTTTTATTTTGTGAAACCTTGCTACATATATGGAATAGCCGTTTTATAAAAGCAATAAGCCCCGTGAAGCCGTGGTTTACAGTGAATTTATAACAGCTAAGGGGGTTTTAGGCACTCGGAGTAAACCACGGCTTCTTGCTTTAATATATGCTGACTTGGCGAGTTTTGCTTTTGGACCCTGGATATGACTAATAAATAAATTTTGGGATAATCAGTTGCTATTACAGAGCAGTTTATTATTTGACGTGTCATACAGAGGCATGTGATGTTACCGCTGAATCTTCTGCACTTCCTGTTCCTGTTCCTGTGTCATGTGACGTGACTGACAGCGCTGTGTGTGTCTTCCAGCTGGACGCGGAGGCCAGTGATCTGCTGAAAGAGCTGCAGAATAAACTCAATACGGTGCTGGATGAGCTCAGCGGCGTCTTCGGCTCCAGGTGACGTATGAGCTGTTGAGCCCGAGTAAATATGATGACATTCTGATGGAGTCAAGAGTGGAAATCAGTCACACAAATTAAATGTTATCGGTACACATATTTGATTGGATGCTGAGGCTATTATTGATTCACAGCTTAGATTACATCAATAGAGGTGAAGAAAGTTAAAGAAAACCGAATAATATGCACTGAAGAATCATTTATAATAAGACCTGTGACATGTTGCTTTCTGTGATTAAAAAACATAGACATACAAATTAGCTCAAATGTTATTTTATGTTGAATGTATTTCATTTATTTATGTTAATGCATTATAATTTATAAAATAATATAAAAATATTTTATTGGGCCTTTATATATTTTAATGTAGAGTTAAAATAAAATATGCAGCATACATGGAGAAAGTAAATCCATTTTCCATTAATTGCCTTTTATGACTAAAAGACATAGACATGCAAATTAGATTGAATGATACATTTTTATTTTTATATTTTATTATAATTTATAATAAATTTGATTGATTTTTTAAATTGCATTTAAATTATTTTATTATAATTTATAATAAATTTGATTGATTTTATAAAATAAAAATATTTTTATTGAGGACCTATATATTTTATTTTATAGTTAAAGACAGATTAGCTTGAATAATAAAAATCAGTTTTATTTTAGTTAATTAATTATTAAAAATAATCAAATATTTTAATTTATTATAATTCATAAAATAAAGCAAAATAAAATATTTTTTATGAAGGATCTTTATATTTTATTTTATTTACAGTTAAAATAAAATAAAACATTTAATGAAGGTCTTATATACTTTGTACACCTGAAATAAAATATACCTGCAACATTTATAAAGAAAGTAAATAGGATTTATTTTCTGTTAATGTTTCTGTTCATGTTGCCTTCTGTGATTAATATACGTAGACATACAGATTAGCTTGAATTATAAAAAATACCATTTCATTTTATTTTATTTTCTACAAATATTTTTATGGGGGACTTTTATATTTTATTTTATAGATACATAGACAAACAGAAGAGCTCGAATGATAAAAATGTGTTTAACATGTCATTCTCAACCGAATGCTAGTATGAATGTTGTTTTTAAAGACTACTTTTTCTGAGATTTTAGTGTGTGTGTGTTGTCTGTCTCCCCTCTTCCCCCTCCTCCGCTCCGCTGCGCACCACGCCCACTTTTTTAGCATTTTTTAAAACTGTGGTGAGAAGTAACCAGTGCTGAAACGGGGGGTTTCATGACCCTTTAAGGTTTCAAACTAATTTTAACATGTCTATCTGCAGTTTCAAGTCGGTCATTGAGGACTGTGTCAAACAAATGAACCAGGAGCTGATGCAGATGAAAGGAAACGCAGGGAACAAGAGTAACGCAGCCATGGACGCAGAGACCGTCCTGAGACCCCTCATGGACCTGCTGGACAAGAAGTAAGAAAATGCAGAGGTACATCTGTTGAAAGACCAGTTGCATTTCTTTCTTTCACTCCATCCCTCTTTTTTCTCTCCAGCCTAATTCTGTTTGCCAAGATCTGTGAGAAGACTGTTCTCAAACGGGTCCTGAAGGAGCTGTGGAAGATCGTGCTCAACACCATCGAGCGACAGATTGTTCTTCCACCGCTCTCAGACCAGACAGTGAGTGTAACACGTCTGCCACACACACACACACACACACACACTCACTCACAAACACACACACACACACACACACACACACACAAACACACACACACACTCACTCACAAACACACACACACACACACTGCATCTGCTCCTAGAAATGTGAATGAAGAGACAGTCATAGCAGATCAGCTGAGGATAGAAAGAGACGTGTTGCTGTTTGAAAATTGTTGTTTAGTGGTTAAGTTAAGGGATCTACAAAGAAGAATTACCATAATTACTAAAGAGCTTTACACAGGTTTAATATTTTATTTATTTATAAAACTAAATATAAAAAATATTTTTATCAAGGTCTTATATTTTTTATTTCATGGCAATAAAATAAAATAAAATATTTAATGGAGGGCTTGTATATTTTACTTTATAGCTTATATTTAATTAAATTCAAATTTACAAAAAAAATATCTATATAAATTTAATGTATTTAATGTAGGGCTTATATATTTTATTTCATATATTTTAAAATAAAATAATACAATTAATTGATGCATATTTTATTTCATAGCTAAAATATAAAATAGAAATAAAATACAATATTTAATGGAAGGCCATTAAATAAAATTTGCTTTATATGTAAAATTGTATTTAATTAAATCTTTAATATAGGGCTTGTAGATTTTAATTTGTAGCTATAAATTAAAATATTTAATGGAGGCCTTATATATTTTACTTTAGTGCTAAAATAAAATATTTAATGTAGTACTTACATTTTTATATTTTATTTTATAGCTATAAAATTAAATTGAATGTTGGCACAATGGCCCTCTTTGATTTTGGAAATAATTTTCCAGCAAGTGACATGAACCAAAAATAATGTTCCTTCACGAGCTTCCTGTCCATTTTCTTAATAAGCTGAATCAGCACTCAAAAACTCGACTGTCAAACACACTAAACAAACTCTGTTTCACTCGCTGTCTCCTGAGACACTTCATTCCCAGACGAGTGAATTACATTTCAACTCTTTGTTTGGTGCTTTTGTTTAACAGCAAGGGGCTCAGATGATTTTCAGTGCTGCCAAGGACCTCGGTCAGCTCTCCAAACTCAAGGTGAGGACTCGCTTTTCTAACTACACTAATGAAAAAGTTTTCACTTTCTTTTTCAAGGGATACTTCAGCCATAAAATGACAGTGTTGTTATAGCTCCCAAAAAAAAAAAAAAGTAGTTCAAAGGCTTCCCAGCTAATAGGGAACATTCTCAGAATGTTTGTTCAAAGGTCTTTAATAACATTCTCAAAAACGTTTTTTTCTGAAACATTTTAATTGGATGTTCGTCTACCATTTATTTTGTAAATGTTGCTATGTTACTATGTTCAGAGAACATTCAAAAGTAACATTCCCATAATGTTTACATGATAAAATGACAAAATTCGCATAACTTTCAGACATTCAGATGAGAGAAGATTCAGAAATAACATTTTCACAACATTGCAAGTCACTTTGGATAAAAGCATCTGCTAAATGAATGAATCTAAATGCAAATAACTTTATGGGAATGTTAGCAGAACGTTTCTGAACATTTTTTATTAGTTGAGTTTTTGGTCATTATACAAAATGAGCTGTTGCAAAAAATCACAGAATACGGGAACATGTTTTTTTTTTTTTTTGCATGAACTGTTCCTTTAAGTGAATGGCATTGATGTGTTTGAACACGACCCAAAATGAGAGGTAACTGGTTTAATAAGCAAGCCTCTGAATGCAGACGAGTGCATCAGATTGTAGATGGGAGCGAGGCATGTTCAGTTTAAAGTGTTTTTACCGTAGTGCTTTCACGTAGCTCCCGTTTTGCTGAAAACGGTTTCCAGCTTATGCTACGGCTTTGCAGCTTTCCGTCAACCGCTGCCCGTTTACATCATTCCGCTCTCTCTGGAATCATGCCGGAAAACTTTCCTGCTTCTGCTGGTGTAATTATATCCGCCCTGCTGTGGAGTTTAAGTCCAGAGAAGGACGAGCGCTTTGGATCTGAGCAGGTGTCAAGACAGATGGAGAGCTTCTCATCATTATGTATCCAGATACTCTCCGTCTCAGTTGTCCCTCTCTCTGTCTCATTTCATATGCATTGAAACATCTCTGCTCAATTGCTGCTTTACCTCGAAATGCTTTTTTCTGGCTCCTGTTCTCTGTGCTTCAGTAATTGTGTGTAGAATTCAACCGCTCTGTTTCTAAACCCAGTGAACGGCGTTGCTGTCTATGGCTTAAACACTTATATGCGACTGCCTTAAAACTCATAACAAGTGAGTTTTGAAGCACTCTACTCTTATGTGCACAAGAGAATCAACTCTAGTTATTGTTTCTAAGTGATGTAGAAGCTGCTTGACATGCAAATATTGAGTAATATTGCATGTTTTAAATAGAAGGAATATTTATGTTTAAAGAAGTCTCTTCTGCTCACCAAGGCTGCGTTTATTTAATCAAAAATACAGTAAAAACAGTTAAATATTATTTCAATTTAAAATAAGTTTTCTATGTGAATATATTGTCAAATGTAATTTATTTCTGTGATGCGCAGCTGAATTTTCAGCATCATTACTCCAGTCTTCAGTGTCACATGATCTTCAGAAATCATTCTAATATGCTGATTTGCTGCTTGAGAAACATTTCTGATTATTATCAATGTTGAAAACAGTTGTGCTGCTAAATATAATTTTGTGAAAACTGTGATACATTTTATTTTTCAGGATTCTTTGATGAATAGAAAGTTAAAAATATCAGTGTTTATTTGAAAAATAAATCATTTGTAACATTATAAATGTCTTGACTGTCACTTTTAATCAATTTAAAGCATCCTTTGTGAATAAAAGTATTCATTTCTAAATAAATAAAAAACAATCTTACTGATCTCAGACTTTTAAATGGGAGTACGGATTTTCTTCCTCAGTTAATTTGTCTTGTTTTCCAGTACAATTATCTAAACATTCAAGATTCGTTTACTTGAAAAGCAAAAAGATATAGTCTTGTTTTCTGAAAAAAAGTCATAATTAAGTGAGTTTAAGAAAAAATAACTTAGTTTAAAAAAAAAACAAGATTATTTTTCTGACCCCACTGGCAAATATTTCTTATTGTTTTAAGCAAAAACTCTCTTCATTTTGATCACCTTTTCAGAAAACAAAAATACTTTTGCTTCTCAAGTAAATGTATCTTGATTTAGGAATGCTAAAACAATTGTACTGAAAAACAAGACAAAAATTCAAAAATATTTAAAGTTTTCACTATTATACTAATTACTTTATTATAATAAAGTGTTTTTTTATTGCATTGTACATCCAGTGAGGTTTTATGAAAGTGCAGTAACATTTAACACACGATGAGTGATAAAATGTGCGTCGAGTGCTGTTTGACCTCTAGAGTGTATTTGTGGATGTCTCGGTGTGCAGCGAGTCTGAATGTGTGTGTACTGACCTGAACAGAGGTTTGTCAGTGGACGTACAGGCCGGTTTAACACCTGATCAATACACTCGCTCGAAGTGCTCGCATCTCTAAATAGGTGACCTTAAGCTGGGAGAAGTCAATGGACAGAATCAGCTCTTCCTACTCAAACACACACACTTGAAGTTACACTGATTTGATGTGGATTAATGCTCACTCACACACCGCCCTGTTATCACTCTCAGGCTTATTTGTATTAAACTTTGCACCGCCATTGACCTGTAAGATTAAATAAAATTGAAGTTTCACTGCCTGACTTCTCGTCTTGAATCATGGTGAGGCCACAGAGTCTTCTGGGAACTGTCACCTTTGATTCTAATGAGCGGTAAGAAGCTCCAAGAAAAGCTCCGTTGACTTCTAAATGCCCTATACATGCAAAACCCTAAATGCACACTAGTCATCCTTATAAATCCTGAGATTCTGCGTTTGTGTTTGACCTGAATCTTCCACCTAATGTTATGGTCAGGGTTCTGGTGTTGAAATTAACTGGAGAGAACTTTTGAAAACAGTTGGTATTAAGGCATTTTAGAAAAAAAATGAAAGAAGCAAACTAGTAAACATGTCAAGCAAATCTAAATGCTCAGAGCCATTTTATTTTATTTTAGCTATGAATTGAAATATATATGCCCTTCATAAAAGAAAATATTTTATGTTTATAACTAAAGCAAAATAAAATGAAATAATACATTATAATAATATTTAATAGAGGTCTTATATATTTTGTTTTATTTTATATATAAAATAAATAAAAAATGAAGGGCATATATATATATATATATACTGTATGTATATATATATATTTCTTTACAGCTAAAATAAAATAAAATAAACATGGCAAGCAAATCTGATTTCTCAGAATAATTTTATGCATTGTATTTTATCAAAATTGTTTAGCATGAGGTTGTTTACATAGCTTGGAAATGCATAGAGGAAAAGCTTGTTTTATTTTTATATTTGATTTTAGCTATAAATTATACAATTACAATTTTAAATAAATCAATTAAATTATTAAAAAATTAAAACTATTTCATTATTATTTCTTTTAAATGGCTGAAAATGCCTTCCATAATAAGCCCTTCATAAAACTTTTTTTAATGAAATTAATATATTTACTGAACATCTTATATATCTTATTTTATATCAAAAATAAATTCAAGAAATACAATTAATGAAGGGCATACATAGTTTATAGCTAAAATAAATTAAGATAACAACAGCAAACATGTTGAGTCTGAACGAGTCATTTTTTGCATGGTATTTCATCAAAATTGTTTAACATGAGGTAGTTTGCATAGCTCAACCAGCGTTGGAAAAGAGCTTCAGTACATTTGAATGTAAATCACTCTGTCTTTCTCTGTTTGTCTCAGGAGCATGTGATCCGGGAGGAAGCTCGCAGTCTGAGCCCTCGACAATGTGCCGCTTTGGATTTAGTGCTTCCCACCATCAAGGTATCGGCTTCTCGTTCTTCTTCTGCTCTGATTCTCCGATTTCAGGGGCCAGTTGCATGAACTGCTGCTCAGATTGGTGTTGCAAGTCAAACACCTGGTTTTAAATTCATCTGCATAAAAATATAGCTTAGTTTAAGTGGAGGTGGAAAATTAAGCCTGATTATCATTAGACTAACTGCTAGTATATGCAACAGTTTTTATAGTTATGCACACAGACTGTTCACATACCAACTGCTACTTATTCCACTCATAAAAAGAGACTCAAAACTGCAATATCATATCCGGTCTATGGATTTTGTTCTGTGATTGTGTACTTGATGCTTTCAGTTCCTCTCCAGGCCTCTGGAGGGCGATGTGATGCATGCAGAAACTCAAGCGTTTATGAGCAATTTCATGCAACTTAAACATTCTCCTTTTTCCTGAATATGCATCAGGTTTAAGTGATGATTTGAAGCCAATTTGCCACCTCCGAACCACATTTTCTACAGTTGAAGTGCATGGAATAGAGTCAGATTAGATCTGACCTTGATTTTATTTACCTGCGTCACAAATGCAAACACACACGTGTGAGGTTAGTATGGTGTGTGATAGGGCTGTCAAAATGGCTGAAAAACTAAATTCGAATTTTGTACTTAAATATTATCAATATTCGAATTTTATTCGAATTTAAAAGGCATAATTTCAGTTAGGGGGGAAAAAAGCTTTTGGCTTCTCTCGAGGCCACAAGAGGGCGCATCGAACAAAATATTACTAATGCACGTTTCTTCAAAGCATAATAAAATAACACGACTATCTTCGAAAAAAGTGCATAATGTTTAAAATAATGTTTATAAACCTTATATAATTAAAGTTGCTTAAACAATTAGAAACAAAACAGCATCATGCATGTATGTATAGATTAATACAAAGGACCGAAAACCAATCACAAAGAGTACTTTCTTCATTTAAAAACTTGAGATGCAATAGGATGGGGGAAACCGCCATAAAGTCTTGAGACATGTTTTTAAAAGTTGAACTTACATTCATTTTCCATGGCTTTCTAAACATGCGACTCTCTTGTGCGAGACGCGAGTGCAGCGGTGATAGATGTCCCTCTAGAAAATGTGATACATGTGTGTTCTGTGTGAACGGCTTGGTTTCGGTTTTGACGTAAACAACATCATCTCCGCTTTGATGTTCTTTTTTCCCCGCAATATTTTGAATGAACAACGTAGCAGCGCAGCATCTAGTGGGTTCAACTGGATAGACTAACAAAAGCATTAAAATGCAATGACACTTACATCGTCGTCGCATATCATCGTGTGCCACTGATAAGGCTGCCTGACGCACACCTAAAATTCGAATGCAACATTTTTGCAACGTAAATTCGACGAATATTTGAAATTCGAAAAAAAAATGTACAGCCTTAGTGTGTGATGTTAGTTGTGGTGTAAATGTGCATGTGAGCTGCACATACATGCAACATCAGAGATATTATTGATTCCGTCGTCTCCGTGGAAACGCACGCCCCTCTCTGTTGGGATCAGTCATGGACTGGGAATTTCGCTCATTGGTATTCTGAGGACTGAAGCTAATTAGGGACGTTCACAAAAGCCTTGAGTAAAATGTTGGTGATGGAAATGGCTGCACGCAGAGATGAGCTGAGGATTCTGTGCTCGACAGCAAAGATATCTGCTGAGATTAATGAGAATAATAATTTATGTGTGAGTGGGAAGAAAAGAGACAAACAGATAAAAAGAGGGAGAGGAGAACAATCAGCATCTGATGTCTTTGTTTTGAGGTCTTTTTAAACATGAATGAATCAGTGAATCAGTGCACATCAAAATATAACTTTTCATTTAATATTTTCCATTAACATATCCAAACATTATTATTTTATTTTTTTTAATGCTAAACAATAGATAGGTTGATATTCAGATAATATTTACAAATTAAATTAATAATATTGTAAGTCTTATTTGAAGAGAATATTATGTATCTTGAATTACATTTATTTTTATTAACTGGCCATTTTTATTATTTATTTATTTTAAATTAAAAAAAAAAAAATTACCACATATTTAGATAGACATGAACAATGCTATACAAATAAAAAAATATATATTTTTTCTATTGTTTTTTTTATATATTTATTTTATTTTATAAGGTCAAAGTGAAGGAAAAACGATATTATATTCAAAATATGCAAAACAACATACATGCTAAACAATAGTTATAAACATTCAATAGGTAGATATTCAGATGGATAAATATTTAGAAAGATAAACATTATTAAAATAAATCAATAATATTTTAAGACTTATGTGCCAAGATTATAATGTATCTTAAATTCAATTTGTGTGTGTGTGTGTGTGTGTGTGTGTGTGTGTGTTTTTTAAGCATAAATCTCATACATGAGACAGGCAAAAATTATAACTATTAAATAAATAATCTAATTATTCTCTGAATGCAAGTCTTATTATCTTATGCAGCTTTGCAAATAAATAAATGTATTTAGTTTTAAGAATATTTAGATTTTTTAACTCAAAAATCAGCTATGTATTTTATGTATTATTGTAATTATTATTTTTGGTGCAATAAAAATGAATGAGACTTGATACTGTACGACTACAACACATAAAAATATGATAATATTAATGTGTTGTTCATCTGAGGTAAATGCTGTTCCACATGGAAGACATATGTCACGCAAATGACACAGATGGAACATGAATTTACATTAAACAAAATAAATAAAGCAGGGACTTTGCCTCCTCCTCGCCACTACTCTCAAACACACAATAGAAAAAGCTCCATATGAATAATGCAGCTGAAATAATGGGCCACCAGAAGATTAAACAAGCATGCATTTGAAATCCAGCGTATTTCAAGTATTTTCATAACACGAAGACTGATATGATCAGAACACGAAAGCACATGGAACATATAAACATTGCACTGAACAACCTGCTGCTCTGATGAGTTTCACCAAATCTTGTTTATTCTTTATTCTGTATTATTAACAAAGTGATGCTCGTCCTGAGTCCTGACCAATCAATACAGCCGACAAACCACATCAGCCATTCATCATCGGATCAATTAGAGTCCAGCTCACAGCCAGAGGCCTTCATCAGCAGACAATGAGAGGCTGTTTACTGGATTTCATCACACAGACGCTGAAAGGACTGAGAAAGAGCCAACAAACAGAAAAAAATAGATGAAATAGACAGACAGATAGATAGATCCTATATATTATTATTATTATTTAAAAAAAAATACAAATATTGATTTCAGTATCTACAAAATGTGGCCAAAAACTTTTTATTTTTTTTTTGCTGAAATATGTTTCAAAATATATTTATGTAAATATGTCTAACAATATATTTTTGGCCAATATATATTTTGTAATTTTTGGGAAGAAAAAAAAAATATATATATATATATATATATATATAAATTTTTTATGCATTTAAAAATACATTCCCCCCTCCATATATTTCAATCCAAGAAAATACATTCATGTCACATTTGAAGAAAAACTCTGAACATGTAACATTTAAAAAAAAAAACATGATTTGCGTTTTTTTTATTAACAATAGGCTATTACACTACATTAAAAAAATTAAACATTATTAAATCATTCTAGTTTTTAACTCTAGTAGGCCATTCCATCCGCATTTAGCCTAAATATAGGTCACTGCATGATTTGACGTATTTTTGGTTTTTGCATGAACTGAACGCTCATCAGATTTTTGGGAAGAAAAAAAAAAAATATATATATATATATATATATAAATTTTTTATGCATTTAAAAATACATTCCCCCCTCCATATATTTCAATCCAAGAAAATACATTCATGTCACATTTGAAGAAAATTTGTATTTGTTGTCTGTAATGTGTGTAATGTATAACACATTTAAATAAAAATAAATAATGAATAAAGCCTAAATGTAGGCTATAAGATTGGAAATGTATTTTCTTGCCCCCAAAAATATAATATATTTTATATTTTGGTATGTGAAGGTTGAAACTAAATATATTTGCAATTTTAAAAAATATATTTCATTGAGCTTCGCTGATTACAATTCATATTTAACATATATTTAAAATATATTTTGGCCATGTTAAAATGTATTATTATATGTACTTTTTAAATACAAAAGCAAGCCCAAGAGAAAAGTAAAGTAATGTTATTTACCAGAATTTATTTAGGAGAAAAATGTAAATGTGCAGTATTTCTGAAAAAAACAAAAAAAAAAAAATTATATGTATATATATATACATATATCTATATATATTGCTGTATGGGATAGATATTTTTTATTTCTATTTTTATTCGATATTCTTTATTTCTATTTTATTTTATTAAGGTCAAAGTGAGAGAAAAACTCAATGCAAGCATTGAAAATGACACCTGGCCTTTCCTCAGAGCCGGAGCGATTGATTCCTTGGTGGAAATCTCATCTGTCTCAATCACGGCATGAAAACGCCAGCGCTCCGTCCTCTCCACTCCTCCTCTAATCGGCCCTTATGCTAATAGAATAATAAACGAGATCTGATCAAATGCCAGTCGTCTCCTCACACTCGTGTCCAGCGGTGGCAGATGATCTCTGCAGCTCTTTGCTTCTGTTTAACCCTGATCTGATTGTGTTCAGCTGACAGATGTGTTATCGCTCTCATGTCTCACCGGCAACTCTGGATTAACTCAGTTAACCGTGTGAAGCTATGAATATTACTGAACCGCCTCCTGCAGCATCTGTGCTGGTTCTCCACTGAGAATGTTTCATTTATGATGTTCAAATCGTGTTCTAATGAATGGATGATATTTTTCTGTGTTTTGCAGTATTTAAACAGTAAGGCAATACAGTAGTGTACGAATCTCTGAAAGCCAGTAAATGCACCATTATTCACAATATAACACAGTCTCGTGTGGATTACAAGGATTATTCCTGTTCTACAAAACCTGAACTCTAGAGCTTTTGCATGTGTTGCAATTGTAGGAAGCTTTTTAATAGTGTTTATTTTAATTTAAAATATGCTCTGGTATTTTACTTTTTTTATTTGATTATTACATTTGTAATATGTAATTTACAAGACGATACTATTTCAGTCTTTCTTCATTATTTCATGTTTAATTCAATGTGTTATTTGCTGTTCCCTTATAATTATTTGTGATTTGTATTTGAATTTGAATTGAATTTACTAGCAGTTTCTGAGTGAAAATTTAAAGTAAATCCTACACCGATTTAGTTTTTCAGTGTAGGATAAGCTGGTAGAATATTTTTATTTTATTATTTTGTTTGTAACCATCATTTCCCTCACAAAAAATAACAATAAAAATAACAATCAAAAAATGTTCATTTAAAGAACAATGAAGAAACACTTGGAATTTTTACAAATCAACATCCACTCAGACCAACGCACTCAAATGAGTTCAAATTCAGCCCAGTGTTCACTTAATTCATAATGTTGTGATAAAAGAAAATGAACTGATTTCCGTCTTTAAAAATTGACTTTAATATTTCATCCAGTATATTAAGACATGAAAATGTGCTGCTTAGAAGTAACCCTGCTGCCAATATCCCATGATTACTTCTCCACTCAGAACTTTACCTTTATATGATTCATTTGTTCTGTCTCAGTGAATGGGTGTTTTTTCAGGTTAACGCTGTGTTGATGTATTTTCTGAGTGATCTGTAGCCATGTTTGACTCTCTCAGTAACCAGCGCGTTTGTTTCTCCGTTCAGCAATATTTCCATGCGGGTGGAAACGGTCTGAAGAAAACCTTCCTGGAGAAGAGCCCCGATCTCAAGTCCTTGAAATACGCCCTCAGCCTTTACACTCAACCCACAGATGCCTTGATCAAGAAATATATATGCACCCAAACCTCTCAAGGTAAGAGCATATTTGTGCTCCTGGAGGAGCGATCGTACATCTCCCTGTCAGGAGAGAGAGAGAGAGACACTTTCTCTGCAGTTTTATGGAGTGCGTTTACTTGTGCAGTATGCAAGTTTTCTGTATGCATGAATTATCTACATTTATCTGTTCCAAAACATAATGTAGTGTGCAGCCTACTTAGACAACATTAGACATACATTAGCAACATTCTGATTCCTTCTTTTGGCCAAATTCTAAGACAGCAATCAATCAGAAGTCCATCCCAGAATGCATTGTGACAAACACAGTGCACAAAAAAGTGAGAGGAATTAGTAGGTTAAAATTATACAGATTCTTTCAATGCCAGAAAGTACCAATCAAATGTATATATGTTCTGCAAGAAGAAAATATTAAACACATTTTATTGGACTGTCCTGCTTTTAATACAAGTAGACAACATTTTTTTTATTCAGTAAGCTCACTTAAAGGGACAGTTCACCCAAGAATGAAAATTCTGTCATCACTTACTCACCATCATGTTGTTCCAAACCTGTATGAGTTTCTTTCTTCTGTTGAACACAGAAGAAGATATTTTGAGGAATGTGAGTAACGAAACTCTTTCATGTCCCCATTGACTTCCATAGTATTTTTATTTATTTTTATTTTATTTTTTCAAGTCAATGGGGACCAACAACTGTTTGGTTACCAACATTCTTCAAAATATCTTCTGTTATGTTCAGCAGAAGAAAGAAACTCATACCGGTTTGGAACAACTACGATCTAAATATAATTTAATAAAACTGTATGAATACTCATTGTATTCATGCAACACAAATATTTTGTGCTGTGTGTTATGGAATTGCTTACATGCAAAAATACAACAAAAAAAAAGGTACAAAACGGTCACTGGGGCAGTACCCTTTCAAAAGGTACTAATATGTACTTTTAAAGTACTAACAAGTACCATTTAGGGGTAAATAAGGTACAAAGATGTACCTTTTCGCTTTTGTACCTTAGGGCAGGGGTTTTCAACCTGTGGGGCGCATCAGTTAATTCAGAGACGTTCCTTTGAGGATTTATGAATATGAGTTAACAAATCTTTAGCCATCCACTAGGGGACAATCTGACTCCCACTGCTAGTCGACAGTTAGAGCAGAGTTGGCTCGAGTATCAGTCATGCTCAGTGTTGCCAAGTCTGCGGTTTTCCCGCGGAATTGGGCTACTTTAACACTGTTGCCGCGTTTTGTAGTTTTGGGCTAGTTTTGAGTAGCAATTAGGCGGGTTTTGTTGTGAAAACCTGGCAACCCTGGTCACGCTTATTGA